GCGCAGACAGATTGAGACATGAACCGCTGAACTCTACACTCCCTCAGGACATCTTATCGACGTAATTGATCTTTAACTGCAGAATTTCTTTTGTTTTTTCCCCACTTTTAAAAATTTCCTTATCGAATCCTTATTGAATTTCCACTTCCAATGGTGACTGCCGGATAATGTACCCCAGAATTCCTTCATGGAAAATAAAATAATGATGATGCGACAAGGTTCAATGAAGATACAGGAAACGAAATAGCACAAAAAGGAAAGTAGCCCTAATTTCTTAGAAGATCGTCAACATGATAGATTTCTGGAGTAGATATAATGGGAAGAGCAATGCCTTGAATGGCATTAGTAATATATTTTAACCAGGTTTTTCACAAACGGTATTGCATGTTACCTTCCAGAGCGGCAACTATAGCGTCGCCTTGGAAGTCTACAATGACATTCAGAACTGGACGACGTCTCCATTTTACGACATCTACATCGATCCTTACATTCCCGTCTCCAATCTTACGGTAAGCGACGAGAAAATTCCATATTTTCATATTACCAGGTGTTGCACATAGATGGCACACCCTGGCTCTGTCTCTGAGAGCTTTAATACGAACGGGGTAAGATGAAAAGAGGCGCTTAAAGAGTTCGATATCATCTTCCACGTCCTTCAACACCCTGATGATGTCGCTTTGAAAGGCTTCCCGGGAGAATCCATGTGCTTGAGCCTCAACTCGGTCTTTCAGGATAACCCCAATGTTCTCAGCCACATTCAGATCAGGAGAGTTTCCTGGCCATTCCGCATTTCCCACAAAAGGCAATCCTGAGCCTTTCAGCAATTGTCGTGTGATCAAAGCTTTGAAAAATAGGGCTTTTTTAGACAGAAGCTGAACGTTTTATCTTTTTCGAAACCCATGAACGGGTAACGAATTCAGCTCTGGCATCATGAGCTCGAAAGGTAATACCTTGGGTGCTATCATTGAATTTAAGTTTCTCACCATCATATTAAATCAGGAGAAAACAAAATTGGATGGAATAGATTCAAAATTGAACAAGGATTCCAAATATATTTAAAATGTTTTCCTAGCTTCTACAGTTTAGGCTGTGGAGGAGGGGGTATCTACACTCAATGTCCACAAAATTAGAGATACCCCTACATTCAACTTTCCATGTAGCTACAGCATAACTTAACCTAGGTTAGGTAGGTTAGGTTGTGACCTAAAGCAGGCAGCCCTGCTTTAGTGTGTGTGTTTTGACTGCAGAATGGGCAAATCAACAGACCTCAGCGACTTTGAACGTGGAACGGTCGTTGGTGCCAGACTAGCTGGTTTGAGTATCGCGGAAACCGTCAAACTGCTAGGCTTTTCACGTGCTACAGTTTCACGGGTATACCGTGAATGGTGTGATGAGCGAAAAACAATAGCTGCAAGGGCATCCTGTGGACGGCAGAGCCTCGTCGATGCTTGAGGTCAGAGAAGGCTGTCACGTATCGTTTTGGCCGACAGGCGAGCTACAGTACGCCAAATCACGGCAAAATTCAACGCTGGTGTCCCGAAAAGCATATCCGTGCACACAACCCGTCGCACCTTAGCGCGGATGGGCTACAACAGCAGAAGACCAGTTCGGGTGCCAATGTTGTCGGACAAAAACAGGAAACAGGACTTCTCTGGGCAAAAGAGCATAGTCACTGGACCATTGCTGAGTGGAAAAAGGTTGCGTGGTCAGATGAATCCCGGTTCCAGTTGTATTTCGCCGATGGGAGGATGCGAATCTGGCGCAGGAAACATGAATCCATGGCCCCCTCCTGTTTGGTGTCAACATTACAGGCTGGTGGCGGCTCTGTGATGGTGTGGGGTGTGTTCTGTTGGCAAACCCTAGGTCCCCTCATACCCCTGGAAGGTCGTCAGGACAGTACGGCATACCTGAACATCGTTGCCGATCGGTTCCATCCTTTATGACCACCGTTTTCCCGTTAGCAGATGGATACTTTCAGCAGGAAAATGCACCGTGCCACAAGGGCCGTATCGTCATGGATTGGTTCGAGGAACATGCCCAGGAGTTTACCTTGCTCCCGTGGGGCCAGTCCCCTGGGGCAGCAGCGCTTGAATCGGAGCCCCTTCGATCACCAAGTTAAGCAGCGTCAGCATGGGCACAACCTGGATGGGTGACATGGGAAGATCCAGCTGCTTGCCTAAGGCGGTGCTGGGCACTTCACCGATAAAGGGCGGATGAGACTCTCGACAGTCCAACGGCCGTGGTGCCCCATGGATCAGAGGATCACCATGTGCACCCAGTGCAACATGTGGATGTGGCGCTTGCGCCTCACCTGCCAGGTCCTCACACTCATGGAAACATGATGATGCCACAACTCAGAAAAATTCATACTGGCTCGGCCGTCGCCCAGGATAAAAAGGGCCGCGCTGGCTGCAGGTCTCCCGGTGCAGTCAGTGAAAAGTTGGCGTCCGGAGGCTCTCACGCTCCTGTTCCACACCAGGCAGAAGTGGGAGTAAGTGCTACTGGTGAAAGTCCCAGCTCTGTCTCAGGGGCCGGGGTTGATAGTCAACCCTCCTTTGTTACAGAAAATATGCCCCCTGCACGGAAACGTATGAAATGGACAAAATCCATGAACATTGACGTCATGCGGGTTTACTATCAAGCACGATCCGATGCGCCAGGAGCGTACCGGAAGAAAATGCTTGAGCTCTGGAATCAATCTTACTCAGAGCTGAATATCAACGAGGAACGACTTGCGAATCAAAGACTCAATATCGAGCGGAACAACATGCTCTCAGAACTGGAGCGGGAAAACATCAAACAGGAAGTCCTGAACACCCTCCAGCCAGACAAACCAGAGTGTAATGTACCCGCAAACGAGGAGGCAACACCTGAAGAGGCTCCACTTCAGGTTCCACCGAGGGCTCTCGAGGCTCCTTCAGAGCTAGAAGCGCCATCCGAAGAACTCAGAATCGCCTTCCTCGACCATCTGGAAGATCTGCGGTACCTACAGATGTCCGACCGACCCCGACTACGACCACTAAAGCTCAACCTTGCCATCTCCAAAGACATCGAGGAGATCAACCAGATCATCAGCTCCTGCGACCTTGCAGACTGCGATCTGACTGAGCTGAACCACCGTGCCTTTGCAGCTGCCATTACCATCCATCAGAAATACCAAGGACCGGAAAAGCCGACCCCAAAACCCGGAAAGGGCCCTTCCTCGATTCCACCTTGGAAGAGGCGCCTCCAAAGTCGGATCGATGCAGCAAGGCGAGACCTTA